TGAAGGTCTGGCGGATCCCCCGTGCACGACAGTAGTCTCGCAGAAGGCGAGAGGAGAAACTCTCCGCCTCTGTCCGAGTGCAGACGCAGAACAGGAAAGTCCGAGCCGAAGCTCAACCTGAGCTGGAGACGAGCCTCGCGGATCCAGTCGATCAGCACCTCAGTGACCTCACCCTTGCTGCGCAAGGGGAGGACTGTGGTGTAACGCGAGTAGTCGTCAACCACCAACAGGAAGTAGCGCTCGTAACCCTGCCCACGGACCGGGGCCGGGCCCCACACATCCATGTGAAGCGTCTGCAGGGGAGCCTCTGTCGGGGGGAAGTGGGAGGAGTGAGGAGTAGCCCGGAGGCGACCCTCGACACAGGGGACACAGGAAGGTCCTGGCCCGGAGGGGAGAGGAGGGAGAGACCGGGGAAGACAAGAGACAAGGACACGGGAGGCCATGCTCCGAAGACGGGGCAAGGAGGGGTGGCCAAGACGGTGGTGCCACAGGAGAGTCTCGTGAGACAGGAGGCGACAAGAACAGGGGGCAGACTCAGGACCTGACCGGGACGCAGCAGCAAGCACCTGACCTGACGCAGCTACCTGACCGGACGCAGGGACAGGAGGAGACGAAGTGGTCAGGGTGTAGAGACTCGACCCCGGCCGACGCGAGAAGGTGGCCAGGTGTCGGCCTGTGCGTGCGTCCATGCAGTGGGTCACCCGCTGCCTCGCAGGAGTGAACTGGTGGACCCCCGCATCCTGTAGGGCTGCTCCACTCACCAAGTTCGTAGAGAACGAGGGAAGGTACAGACCAGACAGGGTACCCGAAGGGGCAGCCGGACACGGGAGGACAGTGGAGAAGTGAGACAGGACAGGACCCCCAGAGGGGTCAGCAAGGGAGACCGCAACCGGCCGGCCAAGAGGCGTAAGGGTAGTGCGGTCTCGGAAGAAGGAGCGAGAAGCTCCGGAGTCAAGTGTGAAAGTGAGGGAGGACGAGGGCGACTCAGTACCTGAAAGCGCAGTCTCACCAGTACCTGAGAGCGCAGACGCACTGGCACCTAGAGCAGCAGCCTCACAAGTACCTAGCTCAGCAGTACCAATGCCCGGGTCGGGCTGGAAGCACCGGTAACCCTCATTCTCCTCACTAAATCCGCAACATACATAGCCTCAAGGATAGCATCAAAATCAAGATCAAAGATCGCTACACCAGCCCTAAGGAGCTCATCCCAACGAGGGATCTCACTAGCCCCGGGAACTGCCGACGCCAAGCGTCCGTCAGGCGGCCAAAGCAGCGCTGAGTGGCGTGGGCACCTCCACACTGCTCACGCCGCGCGGTCGCCGAACGAAAGAACGTAGGTGCAGGGACCAGTACCCCCACCCCTCTGACGCGCAGCGTACCACTCACGAAGCTGCTGGGGCGGAGGGATGTCCCGCGAGCGCTGCTGCTGCTGCCGCTGCGAGCGCTGGCCACCACCACCGCCGCCGCAGCTGACTGGGTACCACCCCGACCAGCTCCGCTCCCTCCACCACCACCTGCTGCTCCGCCGCCGCCTCCACCGCCTCCACCTCCGCCGCCATCCACCTCCGCCGATGCCACCTCCACCGCCGCTGCCACACCACCACCGTCTCCGCCGCTGGTGCCACCACCACCACCACCACCACTACTCCCGCTGCCACCCCCACTCCCTCCTCCGCCTCCACCGCCACCTCCACCGCCCCCTCCAGCTCCACCCGCGCCCTTGCCCCCCTTGCCCTTGCTAGAGCTACGTCTCCCACTAGGGGCAGACGCCGCGCCGACCGACTCAAGACCAAGCAGGTCGGCAGCAGCAGCAGAGGCAACGGAGGGCAGCAAGGGGAAGGAGAGCACCCCTCAAAGATGGGGGTGCGAGGGTCACCACGAGAAGCCCCTACAGCAACTATGCTCTTCTCAGCTGAGAGGAGGGCCTTCTCGAGGAGGTCGACGGTGAGAGTGGTGGGACAGACTGCGAGAAAGTGGTCCCTGACTACACGAAGGGAGTCAGGAGGCGTGTGACTACGTAGTAGAGGGTGATGTACATGGGGGGGGGGTTCTTAGCGCAGAACTCAGCAGGAAGGGCGGCGCGGTAACGAGTGTCACTAGTGCGGAGGTGCGTAACGAGGTCAGCGACAGTGGGAAAGGCAGAGAGGTCAGGAAAGAGGTAGGGAAGCATGAGACGGCTCAGTGCAGCAGTGGCAGGGGAGGAGTAGCGCGCAACTACAGCGTCGTACAAGGTATGAGCACTCTTGTACTGACTAAAGTGCGCGCGCTCAGAGGTAGGGAGGTGGCGACGCACAGCAAGACGTGCAGCAGCATCACAGGTGGCCCACTGAGAGCGAACAGTGGGATCAGCATCAGCAGCAGGAGCAGGAGAGGCGCCAGAGGTGAGGTCAAAGAGGGAAAGGCCGTCAGCTCTGTCGCACTGTAAGAACAGCTGCAGGTCCGTCTAGCCAGACCTCAAAATCAATGGCGCGACCCTCGGCGTCAAAGGCTAGGACACTAGGGGTAGCCATGGCGACGACAGCGAAGCAGTGCAAGCAGTAGGGAAAGAGCACGCAGTGACAGTGGGACAGTGCTCACCAGGCAGGGCGGCTCATGCAGCACGACAGAAAAGGGAGCACGGAGACCGGGCTGCTCGGGGTGCACAGCGGCTCGGCTCCCGTGCGGCTCGGCTGCAGGCGGCTCGGGTGCAGGGCGGCTCGGCGGGCAGGGCGGCTCGGGTGCAGGGCGGCTCGGCTCCCGTGCGGCTGCGGCGGCAGGGCGGCTCGGGTGCAGGGCGGCTCGGCGGCTGCAGTGCAGCTCAGCTGCTGTGTCGTGGCGAGGCCGGGACAGGAGACGGCGAGGCCGTCAGGGCTCAGCGGCGGGCCGGGAAGGTGCAGCGGCGGGGGCCGGCAGGTGTAACGGCGGGGCCGGCAGAGCAGGCGGCGGGGCCGCGTCGTAGCGGGCGGCGAGGCCGCGCCTGAGTAGGCGGCTGGGCCGCGTCGAAGTGGGCGGCGGGGCCGCGCCTGAGTAGGGCGGCGGGGCCGCGTCGTAGTGGGGCGGCGGGGCCGCGGCTGAGCAGGCGGCGGGGCCGCGTCGTAGCGGGCGGCGGGGCCGCGGCAGAGCAGGCGGCGGGGCCGCGTCGTAGCGGGCGGCGGGGCCGCGGCTGAGCAGGGCGGCGGGGCCACGTCGTAGCGGGCGGCGGGGCCGCGGCTGAGCAGGCGGCGGGGCCGCGGCGTAGCAGGCGGCGGGGCCGCGGCAGAGCAGGCGGCGGGGCCGCGCTGTAGCGGGCGGCGGGGCCGCGGCTGAGCAGGCGGCGGGGCCGCGATCGAAATGGGCGGCGGGGCCGAGCGGCTGAAAAGGCGGCGGGGCCGCGTCAGAAAGGGTGGCGGGGCCGCGTCTGAGGGACAGCGGGGCCGCGAGGGAAATGGCGACCCGAGGGGTCGCTAAAAAATGCGCGCCTCGGGGCGCGCTTCGGTGGGCCCTAAAAAAAACGGTCCTTAGAAAGGACCCGCTCTATACCATGTGAAACAACTGAACAGGAATGAAATGACTTAGTCAGAGTTGGGTACAAAAGGCAACCCTAGAAAGGCTGTACCCCATATGTGCTACCCCACTATAGCCTACAAACATGCATCAGCTATAGTAATCTGACAGTTTTCACCAGCTGGAATCTTCCACGAACCCAGTTTCTCGGGCAAAGTGCCCATTTTTTAATCCGCCGCACCATGCGGCCTCGAGACCCAGCACCATGCGAGGTATCAGTGAATGGGGGCATTAAACAAAGACTGGTCAATTAAGCCAGCCAATCACATGATCTTGCGATACATCACGGAAGCTGCCTACCATCAATCTACGCCCAATTAGTGCCACCCGAACAGTCAAACAATTTTTTCTCTAGGTGCACTGTAGCTATTGTCCCATTTCGGGGCTGTTTCTAGAATGGCTCGGGGGCCATTTTTTGGGGGCCCATTATGGCCGATAATGGCGATAATGGCAAGAATGCCTGCCGAACTGGGCCCTGGTGTTCTCTTCAGGCCTTGTTCTGCAGGCGCATCAGGCCGCATCAGGCAGGATCCTTCCTTGATACAGTCGATGCTCAACTCATCACAAAGATTTGCTTATCACTATTAGAAAATCAGTCACTCGCGAACGTTTTGCCTGTGTGTGGTGATTGTGCTGTTTTCAGGGTACAGTCACCAAGTCGAGGAGGAAAAACATCTACAGTTCATAAACAACAACAGCTGCCTGTCATCAGAATGGTTTACCTGGTTACGAACTTAAACCCCCAGACTCGTTTCACACGCCAATTTCATTTTACATTTCACATTTTTGCCCGTGGCTACAATCACATTTTTGCCCGTGGCGACAAGGGCGACTGTGGCGAAATGCTTAAAACTCGTTTCACTCACATGCCGCCCTCCTACCTGGTGTTCTTGAAATGAGCACCGACTGTACACGTGGTGGTATCTTCACGCTGTAGCAGCGCTGGTGCGAGGATTCAAGTCAAGTAAAGAAAAAAACTACAACACACCACAACTTGTACAAAGTCGACCTTTGGGCAATCAGATTCGAGAGTTGGACAATCTGATTCGACAGCTGTGCAAAATGACAGGGGTTTGCATAGTCAACACCCCATGTTCAGCAGAATTCGACAACCACGGCAAGAAGGGGGTTATCATGCCACCACTTCCCACTTCCATTGCCAAACATATTTTCCGAAACGTGGCAACCCTTGCAAAACGAAAATGAATGATAAACACACAACTCCTCTCATGTACATGTGTCGCTCGTACATGTCCGCCATGGGTAATCACGAAGCAGACACCCAGATGCCCAACAAATTTTCCTGACAACTGATCCTCACTTTGCCGTCGCCAGAGGATGGCGAGGGCAAAATGAGGCAACTTTCGCCTGTGACTACAGTACAGTGGAGTCTTTTTGGTTGGGGGACTCCCGAAAGGTTCCCCATAGGACCCAAAAAGGACCCATCTCGGCAGTGTTTGGGACCTTCATTTTTTGTAATGGTGGTGCTCGCAACCCCGCACGGAACGTCGGCCATGGCGCCGCGACTTCCGGTCGAGAGTGGCGCCGCGCACCATCCGCACGCTAACAGCGAAGGAGCGCTTTCCGCCTCGGCGGGAAGCGACGGCGCCGGTAGGGCGGAACAGTCGCCGCCGTCGCCGCCAGCGAAAGGGGTCGACGGCGACGCGGCAGCGGCGCTGTCGCCAGCGCTAGTAGCAGCGAGCGGAGATGAGGGCAAGGCGGCGTCGGCGCTGTCGCGGCATTCAATAGCGGACTGGCTAGCGATGGTGCTGTGGATGGGGTGGCTGCACATCGTGCTCGCGCTGTTCGTGCTCATCGCGCTCACGTTCCCACACCCCCTCGCCATCGCGCTGCTGCTGCTTCTCGCCACGCTCGCCGTCACGCCCGTCGACGTCGAGGGGCCCCTCGCCCAGGCCTACCGCAGGTCCGCCTTTCCTCCGCAGTCTCCGTTTCGGTATGTTTGTGCTTCGATTTCTCTTTTGCGAAACCCATTTCGTAATTTCGCCTAGGTCTGGTAGCTTCTTTCTCCCCGCCAAGGCAGATAGAAGGTCGGAAACAGATCACGTCAACTGCTCGTTAACTTGGTCGAAATTGATCAAGGCTAGCCTGGAGGCATGCCGCTCAGGGGCCGCTCGCCCGTCACTGCCTGCTCCCGCGCCACCTGCTCCCGCGCCACCTGCTCCCGCGCTACCTCTGCTCCCGCGCTACCTGTTCCCGCGCCACCTGCTCCCGCGCCACCTGCTCCCGCCACCTGCTCCCGCGCTACCTGCTCCCGCGCTACCTGCTCCCGCGCTACCTGCTCCCGCGCTACCTGCTCCCGCGCTACCTGCTCCCTCGCCATCCAAGGTTCGCCTCCCATCCGTCTCGCTGCGCCCCCCCCACTCGCTCACATCTGCCGGCCCATTTCTGCTGGCACGAACTGCACTCCTCGCTATCTCGCTCCGACACCAATTTTTAAACGAGTCGTTTCCCATGCTGCGTGGTGCGCGCGTGTGTGCGTCGCCCCTCCCCCCCCAAGGTGGCTCTACCCCGTGGTGCTGCGCCACTTCCCCGTGCGCATGCTCTTCCGCGACCAGAGCACGCTCACCTTTTGAGTCGACTCAAAATTCGCCCCTCGCCCTCTCCCCCCCCCCGCAGGTGGATCTACCCTGTGGTGCTGCGCCACTTCCCCGTGCGCATGCTCTTCCGCGACCAGAGCACGCTCACCTTCGGCAAGCCCTACGGTGCGAACACTAGGGGCGGGGCATGTTAGGGCGTGCATGGTGGGTGGGTGCCTGACGGTTGGGGTCAGTGGATAGACGTGCGCTTGCTCTTGCTCCCCCGTGCACGGCCGCAGCGCCGTCCCCTTCGACAAGCCCTACGGTGCGAACACTAGGGGCGGGGCATGTTAGGGCGTGCACGGTGGGTGGGTGCCTGACGGTTGGGGTCAGTGATAGACGTGCGCTTGCTCTTGCTCCCCCGTGCACGGCCGCAGCGCCGTCCCCTTCGACAAGCCCTACGGTGCGAACACTAGGGGCGGGGCATGTTAGGGCGTGCACGGTGGGTGGGTGCCTGACGGTTGGGGTCAGTGGATAGACGTGCGCTTGCTCTTGCTCCCCCGTGCACGGCCGCAGCGCCGTCCCCTTCGACAAGCCCTACGGTGCGAACACTAGGGGCGGGGCATGTTAGGGCGTGCACGGTGGGTGGGTGCCTGACGGTTGGGGTCAGTGGATAGACGTGCGCTTGCTCTTGCTCCCCCGTGCACGGCCGCAGCGCCGTCCCCTTCGACAAGCCCTACGGTGCGAGCGACTACCTACGGAAGACGGGATGGGCCGTGTTGGCGGGTGCACGGGTGGTGGGTGGTTGCCCCGTGGTGGGTGGGAGGGAGGGAATGGATGGGCATGCGCTTGGCTCTCTAGCTTACGCGCATGTGCATGTGTCGAGGCGTATGTTTCATGTTCTTATGCTGGTCTAGAAAAGGGAGCGGGGATGGAAGGCTGGAGCAGGAACAGAGAAAAGAGATGCAGGGAGAGGGAAAGAGTATTGCACACAGTGTCCAAGGGTGTCCAATCAGTGCGGTCAGCTCTCACATCCCACTCCTTTGCTACTCCCCTGCCTCCTCTCCTTTTTCCATGTGACTTTTGAGTCGACTCGAGAGTATTGCACACAGTGTCCAAGGGTGTCCAATCAGTGCGGCCATCTCTCACATCCCACTTTTTGAGTCGACTCAAAAGCCAAGGGTGTCCAATCAGTGCGGCCATCTCTCACATCCCACTTTTGAGTCGACTCAAAAGCCAAGGGTGTCCAATCAGTGCGGCCATCTCTCACATCCCACTTTTGAGTCGACTCAAAAGCCAAGGGTGTCCAATCAGTGCGGCCATCTCTCACATCCCACTTTTGAGTCGACTCAAAAGCCAAGGGTGTCCAATCAGTGCGGCCATCTCTCACATCCCACTTTTGAGTCGACTCAAAAGCCAAGGGTGTCCAATCAGTGCGGCCATCTCTCACATCCCACTTTTGAGTCGACTCAAAAGCAAAGGGTGTCCAATCAGTGCGGCCATCTCTCACATCCCACTTTTGAGTCGACTCAAAAGCCAAGGGTGTCCAATCAGTGCGGCCATCTCTCACATCCCACTTTTGAGTCGACTCAAAAGCCAAGGGTGTCCAATCAGTGCGGCCATCTCTCACATCCCACTTTTGAGTCGACTCAAAAGCCAAGGGTGTCCAATCAGTGCGGCCATCTCTCACATCCCACTTTTGAGTCGACTCAAAAGCCAAGGGTGTCCAATCAGTGCGGCCATCTCTCACATCCCACTTTTGAGTCGACTCAAAAGCAAAGGGTGTCCAATCAGTGCGGCCATCTCTCACATCCCACTTTTGAGTCGACTCAAAAGCCAAGGGTGTCCAATCAGTGCGGCCATCTCTCACATCCCACTTTTGAGTCGACTCAAAAGCCAAGGGTGTCCAATCAGTGCGGCCATCTCTCACATCCCACTTTTGAGTCGACTCAAAAGCCAAGGGTGTCCAATCAGTGCGGCCATCTCTCACATCCCACTCCTTTGCTACTCCCCTGCCTCCTCTCCTTTTTCCATCCCTCCCAATTTCCCCTCCCCTCTTTCCTTCCCCACTTCTCCTCCCCCCTTCCCCTCCCCCCCTTCTCCTCCCCCGTTCCCCTCCTCCCTTTCCCTTCCCTCTTCCCCTCCCCTTTCTCCTCCCCTTCTCTTCTCCCATTTCCCTCCCCATCCCCTCCCCCCGTCCCGTCCTCTCGTCCCCCCCCCCCCCCCCCCCCCTGCAGTGATAGCATTGGAGCCGCACTCGTTTTTGAGAATTCTCAAAAACCAATTCCCCTCGTTCTCCCCCCCCCCTGCAGTGATAGCATTGGAGCCGCACTCGGTGCTGCCGGTGTCACTGGCCGCGTTCATGTGACTTTTGAGTCGACTCAAAAGTCATCCCCTCCCCCCGTCCTGTCCTCTCGTTCTCCCCCCCCCCCCCGGCAGTGATAGCACTGGAGCCGCACTCGCTGCTGCCGGTGTCAATGGCCGCGTTCATGTGCCACCCGCTGGGGGGGGGCGGCGTGGCAGGCGCCACGAGCGCCATCTTCCGCGTGCCGCTGCTGCGCCAGTTCGGGCAGTGGGGGCGCCTCGCCCCCGCCACGCGCGCCGTGCTCTCTGCCGTGCTGCAGCGCGGCCGCCCCGTGATCATCGTGCCGGGCGGCGTGCAGGAGTGCCTCTTCATGGCTCCCGGCAAGGAGGTGCGCGCGCGCCTCCCGAGTGGGTGTCGCTGGGATGGGGTGGTGGGGTGGGGTGGGGTGGGGTGGGGTGTGGCAGGATGGGGTGTGACGGGGTGGGGTGGGGTGGAATGGGGTGTTGCGGGATGGGGTGTGGTGGAATGGGTTGTGTGGAGGGATGGGGCGTGTGAATGCGCGTACACAGGGGAAAGTGCATGTAGGGTGCGATACTCGTTTGTCTTGCTGCGTCATGCAAAAACCCCATCCCCCCATTTCGGCTCCTCCCTCCCCCCTACTCCAATGGTCCAACCCTTTCCTGCACCCTACACTCTTTTTCCTTGTCACCTTCCTCACCCCTTCCCTCATACTGTCATGACCCCCTCCCAATATCTTTCTCGTGCGTGTCTTCACGTCCCTCTCCCCTCCCTCCTGTGCCATCTTCCCGGTCCCTCCACACCCACCCACCCACCCCCCTGCCCCCCCACTTCCTCCTCCCCCCGCCCCACACCCCCCCCCCCAGGTGGTGTTCATCCGCCAGCTCTTGGGCTTCATCCGCCTGGCGCTTTTGGGTCGACTCAAAGGTCTCCCCCCGCCTCACCTCCCCCCGCCCCACACCCCCCGCCCCACAACCCCCGCCCCACAAACCCCCCCCCCCCCCCCCCCCCCCCCCCCCCCCCCCCCCCCCCGCAGGTGGTGTTCGTCCGCCAGCGCTTGGGCTTCATCCGCCTCGCGCTGCAGCACGAGTCGACTCAAAAGTCCACTACCACCCACCCCCCTGCCCCCCCACTTCCTCCTCCCCCGCGCCACACCCCCCCCCCCAGGTGGTGTTCGTGCGCCAGCGCTTGGGCTTCATCCGCCTGGCGCTTTTGGGTCGACTCAAAGGTCTCCCCCCGCCTCACCTCCCCCCGCCGCCCCGCAACCCCACCCACCCACCACCCCCCAGGTGGTGTTCGTGCGCCAGCGCTTGGGCTTCATCCACCTGGCGCTTTTGAGTCGACTCAAAAGTCCACTACCTCCCACCCCCCTGCCCCCCCACTTCCTCCTCCCCCGCGCCACACCCCCCCCCAGGTGGTGTTCGTGCGCCAGCGCTTGGGCTTCATCCGCCTCGCGCTGCAGCACGGCGTGCCCGTGCTGCCCTGCTTCGCTTTCGGCCAGGTGGGGGGGGGGTGGGGGGCTCCGGGGGGTGGGCGTGCCCGTGCTGCCCTGCTTCGCTTTCGGCCAGGTGCAACGGGCAGTGCCCAGGGGACGCGGGGGGCGGGGGGCGAGGGGCGGGCTCCGGGGGGAGGGGGGCGGGGGGCTGGTAGTGGGGGGACGGGGGGCTGGTAGTGGGGGACGGGGGGGGCTGGTAGTGGGGGACGGGGGGCTGGTAGTGGGGGACGGGTGGCTGGGCGGTGGGCGGTGGGAAGTGGGCAGTCGGCTTTGTTCCTTTGCACTGCTGAAGCAAACTCTCTCTCGTCCTCCACCCTCTACCTTCCTTCTCATTCCTCGCTCGCTGCTCAGTGCTCACCTCGCCTCTTCCCGCCCTGCCAAAGCGAGCTTGTCTGCTCCACTCATTCTCCTTTTGAGTCGACTCAAAAGCAGACTCATTACACACAAGTGCTCACCTCGCCTCTGCCCGCCCTGCCAAAGCGAGCTTGTCTGCTCCACTCATTCTCCTTTTGAGTCGACTCAAAAGCAGACTCATTACACGCGAGTGCTCACCTCGCCTCTGCCCGCCCTGCCAAAGCGAGCATGTCTGCTCCACTCATTCTCCTTTTGAGTCGACTCAAAAGCAGACTCATTACACGCGAGTGCTCACCTCGCCTCTGCCCGCCCTGCCAAAGCGAGCTTGTCTGCTCCACTCATTCTCCTTTTGAGTCGACTCAAAAGCAGACTCATTACACGCGAGTGCTCACCTCGCCTCTGCCCGCCCTGCCAAAGCGAGCTTGTCTGCTCCACTCATTCTCCTTTTGAGTCAACTGAAAAGCAGACTCATTACACACGAGTGCTCACCTCGCCTCTGCCCGCCCTGCCAAAGCGAGCTTGTTTGCTCCACTCATTCTCCTCTTGAGTCGACTCGAAAGCAGACTCATTACATGCGAGTGCTCACCTCGCCTCTGCCCGCCCTGCCAAAGCGAGCTTGTCTGCTCCACTCATTCTCCTTTTGAGTCGACTCAAAAGCAGACTCATGTGCTCACCTCGCCTCTGCCCGCCCTGCCAAAGCGAGCTTGTCTGCTCCACTCATTCTCCTTTTGAGTCGACTCAAAAGCAGACTCATTACACGCGAGTGCTCACCTCGCCTCTGCCCGCCCTGCCAAAGCGAGCTTGTCTGCTCCACTCATTCTCCTTTTGAGTCGACTCAAAAGCAGACTCATTACACGAGAGTGCTCACCTCGCCTCTGCCCGCCCTGCCAAAGCGAGCTTGTCTGCTCCACTCATTCTCCTTTTGAGTCGACTCAAAAGCAGACTCATTACACGCGAGTGCTCACCTCGCCTCTGCCCGCCCTGCCAAAGCGAGCTTGTCTGCTCCACTCATTCTCCTTTTGAGTCGACTCAAAAGCAGACTCATGTGCTCACCTCGCCTCTGCCCGCCCTGCCAAAGCGAGCTTGTCTGCTCCACTCATTCTCCTTTTGAGTCGACTCAAAAGCAGACTCATTACACGAGAGTGCTCACCTCGCCTCTGCCCGCCCTGCCAAAGCGAGCTTGTCTGCTCCACTCATTCTCCTTTTGAGTCGACTCAAAAGCAGACTCATTACACGCGAGTGCTCACCTCGCCTCTGCCCGCCCTGCCAAAGCGAGCTTGTCTGCTCCACTCATTCTCCTTTTGAGTCGACTCAAAAGCAGACTCATTACACGCGAGTGCTCACCTCGCCTCTGCCCGCCTTGCCAAAGCGAGCTTGTCTGCTCCACTCATTCTCCTCTTGAGTCGACTCGAAAGCAGACTCATTACACGCGAGTGCTCACCTCGCCTCTGCCCGCCCTGCCAAAGCGAGCTTGTCTGCTCCACTCATTCTCCTTTTGAGTCGACTCAAAAGCAGACTCATTACACGCGAGTGCTCACCTCGCCTCTGCCCGCCCTGCCAAAGCGAGCTTGTCTGCTCCACTCATTCTCCTTTTGCATCGACTCAAAAGCAGACTCATTACACGCGAGTGCTCACCTCGCCTCTGCCCGCCCTGCCAAAGCGAGCATGTCTGCTCCACTCATTCTCCTTTTGAGTCGACTCAAAAGCAGACTCATTACACGAGAGTGCTCACCTCGCCTCTGCCCGCCCTGCCAAAGCGAGCTTGTCTGCTCCACTCATTCTCCTTTTGAGTCGACTCAAAAGCAGACTCATTACACGCGAGTGCTCACCTCGCCTCTGCCCGCCCTGCCAAAGCGAGCTTGTCTGCTCCACTCATTCTCCTCTTTCCATCTCTCTCCCCGCTCTTGGCTTCCACGCTTCCCCCATTGTCGTCCGTGCCTCGCCCTGCACTCCCCACCCCACACACCGGAGCACATCCCTTCCCGGGTGGAGGCACGCACACCGTCGCGCTCCACAGCGCTCCAACCCTCACTTCTCCTCCAGTCCAGTCCCTCATGGCTCCCCTTCCTCCCACCTTCCTCCCCTTTTCTCTCTCCATCCCTCCCCTCATGCCCCTCACTCGCCTCGCCTCGGCCCTGCCAGTGCAAGCTAGTTCTCCTCTCTTTCTCCTCCCGTTCTCCTCTTTCCATCCCGTTCCCTCTCGTGCCATGGTGCCATGCTGCACACGCACGCACCTCTACTCTCACTTCCCTCATCTATCCTCCAGCAGCTCATGCTCCACATCATCCCAACCTCCTTCCTTTCCCTCCCCCCTCCCTTCTCTTCCCCCCCCTCCCTTCCCCTCCCCCCTCTCCCCCCTCTTCCCTTCCCCCCATCCCTCGGACCTGTGCATACCCTCTCCCATCCTCCTCCCCCCTCTTGTCTTCCACACTTCCCCCCCTCTCGTCCATCCCTCTCCTCGCCCTCCCCTCACACCAGAGCACTCAGTGGGGGGAGGGGAGCCATGGCACCACGCTGCCAGCGCTCCAACCGTCGCTTCTCCTCCAGCCCCTTATGCCTCCTCTTCCTCCCATTTCACCCCCGCCTTCCCCTTCTCTCTCTTCGCCCTGTCCTCGCCCCCACACCCCCGTTCCCCCCATCCCTCAGACTAGTGCATACCGCTGGTGGAGGCCAGAGGGGGAGTGGTTCCGGTGGGTGGCGCGGAGAATAGGGTTTGCGCCGATGCTCTTCTGGGGCATGTGGGGGTCTCCCATCCCCTTCCGCACTCCCCTCACCATCGTCATCGGCACACCCATCGGACAGGGTGACCCTGACCCCAACCCCTCGAAAGAAAGGGTGAGTTTCAACGCATGTGAGGCACTGCTGTATGAAAGTGGTGAAGTGGCTCGGAGTGTGATAGTTGTGTTTCGCTGGTGTAAGACGGATGCTGTGGGAACGTGCACCGAGGGGTTCATTGATTGGCGTGTCATGCATGCCTGCATGCCTGTGTGCCTGCATGCCTGCATGCCTGCATGCCTGCATGCCTGCGTGCCTGCATGCCTGCGTGCCTGCATGCCTGCATGCCTGCGTGCCTGCATGCCTGCATGCCTGCGTGCCTGCATGCCTGCATGCCTGCATGCCTGCATGCCTGCGTGCCTGCATGCCTGCGTGCCTGCATGCCTGCGTGCCTGCATGCCTACATGCCTGCGTGCCTGCATGCCTGCGTGCCTGCATGCCTGCATGCCTGCATGCCTGCATGCCTGCGTGCCTGCATGCCTTCATGCCTGCATGCCTGCATGCCTGCATGCCTGCGTGCCTGCATGCCTGCATGCCTGCATGCCTGCGTGCCTGCATGCCTGCATGCCTGCATGGCATGCCTGCATGCCTGCATGCCTGCGTGCCTGCATGCCTGCGTGCCTGCATGCCTGCATGCCTGCATGCCTGCATGCCTGCATGCCTGCGTGCCTGCATGCCTGCATGCCTGCATGCCTGTGTGCCTGCATGCCTGCAGGCCTGTGTGCCTGCGTGCCTGCATGCCTGCATGCCTGCATGCCTGCATGCCTGCGTGCCTGCATGCCTGCATGCCTGCATGCCTGCATGCCTGCATGCCTGCGTGCCTGCATGCCTGCGTGCCTGCATGCCTGCATGCCTGCATGCCTGCATGCCTGCGTGCCTGCATGCCTGCATGCCTGCATGCCTGCGTGCCTGCATGCCTGCATGCCTGCATGCCTGCGTGCGTGCCTGCATGCCTGCATGCCTGCATGCCTGCGTGCCTGCATGCCTGCATGCCTGCATGCCTGCATGCCTGCGTGCCTGCATGCCTGCGTGCGTGCCTGCATGCCTGCATGCCTGCATGCCTGCGTGCGTGCCTGCATGCCTGCATGCCTGCATGCCTGCGTGCCTGCGTGCCTGCATGCCTGCATGCCTGCATGCCTGCATGTCTGTTCTTGTTGGCAAGCTGTCTTTTTTCTCTGATCACTGTCCTTCCTTGCATGCCTGCATGGGTGCATGCATTTCCCTTCTTCTCATCCCTCTGTGACGTGCCATGTCATTCACGCATCCATGCCATGCCATGTCATCCCATGGCCCTCGTGTCATGCCATCTCATGCCATGCCAGCTAATCCCACTTCCCCCTTGCCTCCAATCCCATGCCACGCCAGATCCAGACATGGCTCAGTGAGCTGTGTGCGTGCAGTAGGCTTAAAAGCAAGTAGGCTTAAAAACAGCAGTAGATTTCCGCTCTGCGTACAACTAAGTGCTCAAAACGATCTCACAACCCAAATTCTTAGCAGTGCATGCGGAGCACGTGACGGCCTTCATGTCCGCCCGTGTCCTCGTCTCTCTGTATCCCCCCATCCCATACAATACCATGCCATCCCATTCCATGCCACGCCATTCCCCCCATGCAAATGGCAGCAGTGCATGCGGAGCACGTGACGGCCTTCATGTCCGCCCGTGTCCTCGTCTCTCTGTATCCCCCCATCCCATACAATACCATGCCATCCCATTCCATGCCACGCCATTCCCCCGATGCAAATGGCAGCAGTGCATGCGGAGCACGTGACGGCCTTCATGTCCGCCCGTGTCCTCGTCTCTCTGTATCCCCCCATCCCATGCAATACCATGCCATCCCATTCCATGCCACGCCACTGCCACCATGCAGGTGGCAGCAGTGCATGCGGAGTACGTGAGGGCGTTGGAGCGACTCTTCCTAGACTACCGCGCCCAGGCGGGCTACCCCACCACAGAGCTGGAGATCATGTAATGCCATTGCTGCTGTGCAGGCCATATGGGGCCACGGCACAACCCAAGGCACATGAAGCGCTGTGCTGGTGCTTATGTGCTCACGGCTCATGAGGCTTCACCTTATGCTCCTGTGTGCTGCTGTCACCAGCCAGCCACCCACTGCAGTGGTCCCTCTTGGCACATCACACCACGCACACAGCCAGGATTCCCACTGCCAGCAGCTCCTATCACAACTTGCTCCATTGGAAAATGGCTCATCTCATCCACTAGGCTATGCGAGGACTCCCCAGATTCCCATCACCGGTGCACAGCTCTCCAACCAGCTATGCCATGCCTGCAAGTGGAAACTAGTTAGCCATGTTCGGTATGGGCTTCCGTTGTCTGGCAAGTTGGAAACCTAAGTACGTGTTTGCACTTGCAGCTGCACTAAAATGAAACCTCGCCACTGCAAGTGCCCTTGGTACCGTAAGCCCCCCGGATAGAAGCGCAGGCCTCGGATAAGCGCCGGCGCTTATTAAAGGATGAAAATAAATTACAACTATAGTGCAGCTTGTATGCACCTCTATAGTGTATAAGGCTTTATATATATAACAAGACTCGACGTTAACGTCGGAAGGGTTGCGTAGATGTTACATTCCTTATTGACAAGAAGAAAAAAAAAAGAGGAAATGCAGTTTCTATTTCTTATTTAGCGCCAAATTTTGGTCTACCGTATTAAGGAATACGGCAAGCACTTCGTGATGGTGCAATGTATTCGTTTCAGCGTGGATCTCTATGATTTTTTTTAAACATTGATGTTTCTATTACGTTAAGGTCTAGACACATTGATCGTTTTTTATATAGTGAACAATGATGTTCTCTTTCCTTAAAGATGATGCTTTGTATTGTTACACTGCACATTTTGTAGTGAGTTGTTTTTAGCCCAGTCAATCTCACGTGATTGTGCGTGTGTTTTCACGTGAAATCCCACCCCACCTGTTGCCTCTCCCTCCCACCCACCCACCCACCCACCTCGTCATAGCCTCTACCTCCACCCCACCATCTTTTCTTTCCCACCACGCCGTCCTCTCCCCCTCCCACTCGCCGTCGCCTCCCACCTGCCGTCGCCTCTCCTTCCCACCCGCCGTCGCCGCTCCCTCCTCCCGCCGCCGCCGCTCCCTCCTCCCGCCGTCGCCGCTCCCTCCTCCCGCCGTCGCCGCTCCCTCCTCCCGCCGTCGCCGCTCCCTCCTCCCGCTGTCGCCGCTCCCTCCTCCCGCCGTCGCCGCTCCCTCCCACCCCGCCGTCGTCGCCTCCCCCGCTCGTCCCACCGTCGCCGCTGACAGCAGCTGCACGAGCGCGAGCTGGTGGGCGAGCGCGGATCGACCCCTGAGGCACCGTAATTTTCAGGTGCGTTGTCCTTTTCCGGTCCATTTCTCCTCCTCCTCTCGAAGAAATTCATTTACTTTGGTAAGTTTTTTATGTGTCAATTGATCTCCTTTTGCATTGCAATACCAATTGAAGAGAGGGAGAGAGGGAGAGCGAGTGAGAGAATTCGCACGCGATCGAGCACGCTGGCGCCTAGTGCGCTGGTGCCTAAAGCCTTGGCGCTGTGCGCGCTGGCGCCGTTCGCGCTGGCGCCTTGCGCACTGGCGTCTTGCGCGCTGGCGTCTTGCGCGCTGGCGCCTTGCGCGCTGGCGCCTAACGCGCTGGCGCCTTGCGCGCTGGCGCCTAACGCACTGGCGCCTATCGCGCTGGCGTCTTGCGCGCTGGCGTCTTGCACGCTGGCGCCTTGCGCGCTGGCGCCTTGCGCACTGGCGCCTTGCGCGCTGGCGCTTAACGCGCTGGCGCCTTGCGCGCTGGCGCCGTGCGCGCTGGCGCCTTGAGCGCTGGCGCCTAACGCGCTGGCGCCTTGCGCGCTGGTGCCGTGCGCGCTGGCGCCGTGCGCGCTGGCGCCGTGCGCGCTGGCGCCGTGTGCGCTGGCGCCGTGCGGGCTGGCGCCTTGCGCGCTGGCGCCTGCGCGCTGGCGCCGTGCGCTCTGGCACCTAACGCGCTGGCGCCTAAAGCGCTGGCGCCTTGCGCGCTGACGCCTAGTGCGCTGGTGACTTGCGCCAAGGCGCCTAACGCGCTGGCGACTAGCGCTCTGGCGCCAGGGGGCCGCGTGAGAGGCCATGTGAGAGAGTGCGTGAAAGTGCGCGTGTTAGTGAGTGTGAGAGTGCGCACGCGAGAGAGCGCGTGGGGGAGAGTGTGAGAGTGCGCATGTGAGTTTGCGTGAGAGTGCGCGCGTGAGAGAGCGCGTGAGAGCGCGTGCGTGAGGGAGCGTGTGAGAGTGCGCGTGAGGGAGCGTGTGAGAGTGCGCGTGAAAGTGCTCGTGAGAGTGCGCGTGAGAGTGCGCGCATGAGAGTGCGTGAGTGTGCGCGTGAGAGCGCACATGAGCGAGCGTGTGAGGAAGCGTGTGAGAGAGCGTGTAAGAGTGCGCGCGTGAGTGAGCGCATGAGATAGTGTGTGAGAGTGCGCGTGAGAGAGCGCGTGAGAGAGCGCGTGAGAGTGCGCGTGAGAGTGTGCGTGAGAGTGCGTGTGAGAGAGCGTGTAAGAGTGCGCGCGTGAGTGAGCGCGTGAGATAGTGTGTGAGAGAGCGCGTGAGAGTGCGCGTAAGAGTGCGCGCGAGAGAGCGCGTGACAGTGCGTGTGCGCGTGAGAGTGCACGTGAGAGGTGAGAGGGCAGGTGAGGGAGCGCGTGAGAGGCCGCGTGGGAGGCAGGTGAGGAAGCGCGTGAGAAAGCGCGTGAGAGGGCAGGTGAGAGTGAGCGTGAGTAAGCGCTCGAGAGACGCGTGAGGGAGCGAGTGGGAGAGGGCGTGAGAGTGCGCGTGAGAGTGCGCGTGAGAGTGCGCATGAAAGATCACGTGAGAGAGCATGGAGAGAGCGCGTGAAAGTGCGCGTGAGAGTGCGAGAGGGAGTGTGCGAGAGAGAGCGTGTGAGAGAGCACGTGAGAGGGCATGTAGGTTTGTGTGTTTGTTTCTGAGAGAGTGTTGAAGAGTATCTGTGTATCTGTGTGTGAGTGGGTGCAAGATTGAGTACAAGAGTGAGTGCGAGCGTGATTGTGAAGTTGAACGTGAGGGTGGCTGCAATGTATTGCATCATGTTGGCGTAGTACTGTGGTACCACACCATTTTACCTCTGTGAGTTGTCAAATTTCCTGCTTGGCCTCCTCGCAGGGAAGCATTATGCGTTTTATACAGTGTGTGAACATTCTTTGTTTTTGCCTTTTTTCTTGTGCAGGGCGCGTGCTTTGCATTCTCTCTTTTTGCTATGTGCAGGGCGCGTGTGCTGCATTCGTTAATTTTGTTTGGCAGAGAAGGGAGATGAGGGATGGGGTGGGAGGGAGATGAGGGAGGGGGTGTGAGGGAGATGAGGGAGGGAGGGAGGGAGGGAGGGAGACAGGAGAGGAAAGGAGGGAGGGAGGGAGGGAGGGAGGGAGGGAGGGAGGGAGGAGGGAGGGAGGGAGGGAGAGAGGGAGGGAGGGAAGGAAGGAGGGAGGGAGGGAGGGAGGGAGGGGAGTGATACTTTATACAAGGCTGAACTTCATTCATTATTCTTGCATGCTTATTACCGTAGTTGTATGTTTTTGCGTTGTGTGTATGTGTGAGCCTGTGTGTGTGGGTGGTATGTGTTGTGTGTGTTTCAGGGTGTGGTACTAAGTGCCTCGTGAATGCAACTCGGATTGTGATCGTCGGTGGGGCAGCTTTGCTAGCCTCTTCCGTACCATATCAATCCCAGTTGCAGCATTGATGCATTTAGTATTCGCCTTGAAACATTCTCTCAATCGTTGTCCGTCCTTTGTTTTTGTACCAGCTTGTATGTTATCGTCTGTGCTTGTTTTGGGTTGTGGTGCAAAGTGCCTCGTGTATGCAACTGGGGTTGTGATCGTTGGTGGGTCAGCTTTGCTTGCCTCTTCCGTACCATATCAATCTCAGCTGCTGCATTGATGCACTTTGTATTCCCCTCAAAACATGTACGACGGTTTTTGTACACGTTCGTTTTTGTGGTCATTTGTGCATGTGTGCCTTTCGGTTCCTGTGTCATTTGGTGTTAGCATTAGTGCTAGAAAGATTGTCCAATTATTCCATTCGCCATACTTATCGACGATTATGGATGATTGGACACATTTGGTTTCACATAGGGTAACTTGCGTGAACAGTGTTCTCTTCCAGAATTTTGGAGGGAGAAAACACTGTTCACGTCAGTTCCCCGAAAAGTGAAACCAAATGTATAAGGTTGCTACGCAACCCAAAAAGAAGTTATGGAGTTGTGTGGTTGGGCCCAAAATTCAACTCAACCTTGCTGTAGTACTTGCAGACTGTAGCCGCTACAGTTGAAACGAGGCGGAAGATTTTTCCGCGCCAAACGTGATTCAAGGGCGGGAAATTTTCCACCCCTGATTTGTCCGGTCCGGGGCCCCAAAACGAATCGACAGCCTTGATCCTGCCTGATGCGTGCCGCAAGCACGCGGAAGCGATCCCGCATTGGAACGTCGCGTAGGGTTTCCGTTGCGATCGCATCAGGTGTGTTGGCAGAATTGTCATGCCTTGCACTGTTTCCGCCTTTTCATATTTTTCTGCCCTACTTTCGGGGTTTTTTGTTAATATCCTAGGTATGGGGGCTATGAATGACGTCAAATGCTGGACGCAAATGCTGGACGCTGGAAATTTTAATCGGGCGAGTGTAGGGTAATTTCCTGTTGTAGAAAGCATGTTTGCTGTTGCGCATCTTATTGCGTAGCTTTCGGGAGTCAGTAACTTAATTTGGCGTGAGCGTATGATCATCGACACAACCCTCGGTAAAAAATATATAAAGGGTGCATACCCCTTTGCACAAGTGGGGGTTGAAGATAGACCGAAAGAAACGACGATGGTTAGGTGTAGATGCAATGGCATCTTGAGCCCCTTCGTGCCGTGGTTGTCGATTTCTGCTCAACATGGGGCGTTGACTACAGCTGTCGATCCGATTGTCCAACTGTCAAATCTGATTGCCCAAAGGTCGACACTGTACAAGTTGTGGTGTGTTGTCGCTTTTTTTCTTTACTTGGCTTGAATACTCGCACCAGCGCTGATACTGTACAGCGTGAAGATACCACCACGTGTACACCCTGTTTCTCGATGTTCTGACAATCGGGAGCCCAGGCTACAGTGCGAACGTGCGCTTGGATTTTGCGGGCTGGTGCTTGCAGCCGAACCCCAGGTAGGTGGCGGGCTATTGCTGTGAAATTGAACGATACAGGACGGTTCATGACATAAACATTGCTAAAGCGTACGGTTCTGGGACCATTTTGGACGCGTTGATGTCAGAATAAATGGCCTGTAAATACAGAGAATGTCAGTGTGGCGCGAAACACGATGTATCAAAGGAGGATCCTGCCTGATGCGGCCTGATGCGGCCTGATGCGCCTGCAGAACAAGGCATGAAGAGAACACCAGTGCTGATCACGGCGATTGGAATGTCGCGTAGGGTTTCCGTTCGCGCCAGGTGTGCTGGCAGAATTGTCGTGTAGCAGAATTTCAGCACGTTTCTCGTCAGGTGTTCCACTGCCATGCCTTGTTTCTCCCTTCTCACAATTCTCGCGACCCCGATCAGCAGGGGTTTCTCTGCCGTCCCACACTTTCCCAACCAGCTGCTCACCTCTTCAAGAGTTGTATCATATCATTCCAAAAATGTACAAACGAATGTTCCCAGGCTGTCTGAAATCCCGTACAGTATGTGGCTGTCGCGGCAGCCAAAGTGATGCGAAATTTGATTGGTGCCGAGCCTTCCTCCGAAGCTGGATGGGTATCAGTGAGGTAACCCAATGAACAAATCGGCCTTCTGATTGGTCGATTGTATATCCTACGAGAGTTGCTGAACGTTGCAACTGCTTAAAGGTAAGGACGTGGGTCCAATCGACTTTGATCGGCGCGATCGGATCGGGTTGGATCGGATCGAATTGCTTCTGATCGTTTTTCCCGCGCCGCCCGATCAGAGATGATTTTCCTCGAATGTTTCGCGCTCTTGCATGAAAACTCTCTGCCCATTACCTGGTAGTTGCAGGCCATTTTTGGCGAGACTGTCGAATCTCAATATTGTGGTAATGTCGCAAACATCGCTGGTCTGGGTGTATTCGCAAGGATTTTCGAGACCCCATGGCAAGGCGTGTTACATTTCGCGTGATTCGCCCAGGTCCCCGATCACATGCAATCAAGTGATTGGGTCTGATTGTGTCTGATCGGGTCTGATCGGGCTGTTTGAGGCGGTTGATCGAGTTGGAGCGATCAGCTGATCGCGATCAGTTGATTGCCCCCGATTGCCTAAAATCTGCTTCCCGCCTTCTTCGAAACTATTGATCGCCTCTGATCGCGCCGATCAAAGTCGATTGGGCCCACTTCCTAAGCTCGGGGGCACTTGCTGGGGAAGTTGTGGGTTTACCCCGCGAGAGTGACCTGGGTGTTCGTCTAAAAAATTTGGGGTTGGCCCAACTCGCCTCAAATGCACGTTACTGTCAACTAACGTTCCACATCTTCGCCTCAACTTGCCTGCTTGTAGGCACTGTGTTACAACAACAATACGAAGTTGCTAGCGGAGTTGCTTTGGGGTCGCTGTGTTGCCTGGCTGTCGTGTTCGGAATGTACAGCAAGCAACTGGGTGCGCTCGCGACTATTTTCGCAGGGATCGCCATCCGCAGTTGGCACACCTACCTGGTTCGGATGATTGTACCCCTTAATGTAATACACTTGCTCTGGGTGGAAACTACTCAAGGGGGAATACACTACATGCATGTACTTATGTTGCCTTCATAACAATGCATCCTCTAGTCTGGAAGGCCTGCGTAGTCGTTGCGCTCTCGCGCCCCGGTTGCT